AACAACTTAAGCTGTCACGAAAATCCAGACTTCTTGGAGCCAGGAGTCGTAAAACCGTTCTGTCGGACCGTGATAAAATCAATAAGAAATTTTATCTGTGGACTGTACGCTACAATTGTAAATAGAAAATGTCTTCATACATGCTTATTTGTTAAATTTTGTTAGACATTTTCTGTTGTATGTTTGTTTGCTGCCAAAACAATAAAATACATTTGACTGAAGAATTGATTTGCTTTTTATTTTTTATAACAGTTCAGAAAACTGATTAATTTGAGTTAAACTACAATAACTACTGTATATATGATTTACCATTAATGTGTGTGCAGTAGCGATAATGCTGTGAGTACAGAACTACAGTACAGTAATTAACTGTAAGCAGTTTCCAGTTAGTTTTCGCTACTGCTCTGTTACACTGACTAACACTGTTGCCAGTATTCTACTGTAAAAAAAAAAGTTAAACCTGGTAAGATCTAATACATTTATTACAGTATTTATTATTTGTTAACATTAGTTAATGTAAATAAAGTTTTATTGTTAATTCATGTGAACTCACAGGACATTAACTAATATTAACAATTTAATTTAATATTACATTAATAATAAAACCGCCCAGACCTGGCAATGGTCATGTAAGCAGACTAGCTTTTCTCACACTGAAGCATATATATGCATAAACACTCCTCAAAGATCTCTCTTAAATGAATGTTTTCTGCAGATGCTTTATTTTAATATATTTGTGCATAAACATTAAATCAGTCAGTATCAAAGTGAAAACTGTAAACAAAAAACTTCAAAAAAAAAAATCTTAAGGTCACATTTAAAAAATGAGTTCACCCAAATGGTTCACGCCACTGGTACTTCACAGCTACTGTGGGGTCACCCATTGTGGAGAGGTCTCAGCTGAGATGCCCAACCAAGACAAACCACCTGATTCTGGACAGCAGAAGATTGGCCTGACGCCCAGAAAGAAGATGTTGCCTGAATGACTGGAAGAAACTTTAAAATGACCGGAGTTACAGATGGACCAAGCTACTGTAAGCTCTTCTCTGGAATAAATATAACACACACACACACACACTCACACATACACACATACATAGAATAACACAAAATAAATCTTGAAGACATTCAGAATTAAATATTTATAGGTCAAATATTTATTAATAACCTTCATTTAAAGAATATTTTAATGAAAAAAAAAGTTTTCAGTGAAATGGCCGAGTCTACTTTCACTAAAACACATTGAAATGAAAGGATTATTTCATCAAACATGTAAAACTTACGATCCTGAGGAAAAATAAAAAGATGTGACCACTATAAAGTTATTGGTTATCCTGAATTAAAATAATGAAAATTATTGAGAAAATTCCATGTTTAATGTTATAAAATTGACTCGAAAAAGCGAAAATTTACAATTCATCATTGTGTTAAATGTGAAAAGAAGCAAGTAAACACACAAAATAATCTACAATAGAAAGAAATTGATTTAAATGGCACAAAATGTGTAAATGATGACAAGTTTATTTTATATGTGTGAAAACAATTCAGCTTATTGCACTTTACTGCATTTATGACAAAAAGATGTTTTAAAATGAAAATAATCTTCAAAATAAGAATCTGAATCTTCCAGTAGGTGGTGGTAAATACATACACTTACATACCTTTAACTACACATGACATTTTACTCCACCTTACATATTACTCACCCGGATATATATAATTGTATAAGGGTCATTCTCACTATAAAGTGCCTTCGAGACATCAAAATGATAAAACTAAATTGTTTGAGAGTTTTGATTAAACCACAGTTGTTGTATTAATTAGACCTCAGACTGTAAGAAATGAATGTTGGTCAAGCTCCTGCACTTTTTACAAATAATCTGCAAGTAGAAAAACAGTAAACAAACCTCACATTGTGTCAACCCTGTCATGGACAAATGTAAAGTATCAGTACAGTCAGAGCATCTGGAAAGTTTTCACAGCGCTTCACTTTAACCACATTTTTATGTTACAACCTTAATTCAAAATGAGTCAAATTCATTTATTACCTCTAAATTCTACACACAATACCCCATAATGACAATGTGATTTTTTTTTAATTGTTGCAAATTTATTAAATTTGAGAAATCATATGTACATGTACTCAGAGATGGTAGAATCTCACAAATGTTTTAAGTGTTGTCCAGCCGCAGCTCTACAGTTGTCTGTTAGAGAGGCTCTGCTGCTCATGCCCAGGAGGATGCGGGACTTCCAGTTGAGTGTGCACTTATCCCTGAGGACACACTTTGCCTTGGGTATGATACACAAGGGCGATGGCATCCACAACCCAGTGTACCAGCCTCTGCTTGATATGGCACTTTCCTTCTGCCGACTGACAAAACAGACAAAAAGCAAAAAAACAAAAAAAACAGACTAGAGAATACTCTGTTTCGGCCATGTAAACACCCAGTCTGCGACCTCATCACAGCATTGGAGGGGTTGAGTATGCCTCCTCCAGAGTCAATGCTTCAAGTCTGGAAATGGAGTGGTAGGAACCTTGGGCACATAGCCAGGCCAGAGTCTCAGGACAATGTGAGAGTTAGCTGGCCCAAATTCCAAGCATGATTTGCTGACAGAAAATGCCTCCAGGTCCCGGACTCTATTAATAGAAGCCAGTGTGATCAGCAGAGCTGTCTTCAAGAAAAGAAAACTTAAAGATACTGAATCAAGCGGCTCTCTTTGCAGTGCGCAGAGGACCACAGAGTGATCCCAAAAGGTCATGAGAGGTCAGCTACCGATGCTGGCAGGTCACTTAAGGTTTCTATGTCATGTCTATAGATCACACATGAAGGTTTCAGAGATTTGATTTGATTTATTTATTTTCAAACAGAAATATCATTCATAAAACATCATTAACAAAAAATACATTTCATGTTTGATTCCATTTGTACCTTTACATTTTGTAACAGACCCAAAGTAAAAAAATACACTGAAAATAGCCATTAATTAAAACTTCATCATACCTTTCTCACTTTATCCTTTTTCAATCACCTTCATCATTATATTCCTTTAATAATATACATTTATACAACTTTTTCAATTGATTATTATCCTGACATTGTTTGGGAGTCTGATCTAGACTGTTCCATAATTTCACATCACAGACAGACATACACAAACTTGTTAAAGTTGTCCTTGTTTTCAACCTCCTAACCCTTAGTTCTTCTCTCAGATTATATCCCCCTTGTCTTTCTTCAAATAATTTTTGCATGCATTTTGGAAGTAATTCATTCCTAGCTTTAAACATAAATTGTGCTGTTTTAAATTGAACCAAATCATTGAACTTGAGTATCTTTCGTTTAAAAAATAAAGGATTTGTATGTTCCAAATAGCCCACATTTTCCATCAGTCCAATGACTTTTTTGTATTTTAAGAGATTGATTGTATTTGAAAACAACATCAATTAGAACTAACAAAAACCAGAAACAACTATCTAACTAATGCTGAGATGACTTATTGATATTTGTGTGCAATAATTCCAAAATGTATGTCTAATCATTATTAAATATTAATGATGACAATAATACTAACAATGAATTACATCTCTCATGATCGTGCTGCCCTGAATGTGCTTGAATGTAAGTTTATAAATAAATTCATGGTTTGCATCAAACTAAAATGAAGAATTGCAGTAAGAAATATTTATTTTGCACTATTGTTTTTATCTAATAAATAATATTTCTGCTAAAAAACAAACAAAAGATTATAATAAATCATTTAATTCAAGGCTGAAAGCTGCAAAACTGTTTTTAGTTAGTAACTCAAGAAACAATGGACAATAGAAATTAATAAAAGTCTCACTTCTATCACTCTTTAAAGGTTTTGATCTGGGTTTGTGTCATTTTAAATGCTCAGTCTTGTTATGAGCTGATTTTCTTTCTTCTGTGTTTGTGGAAAGCAGGCGAGTCAGCGCACCAATTTATAAGCAGGCAGAGCAGGATTCTCGTGATGACCACCAGCACAATACTGCTCTTTGTTATGAGCCGCAGATTCAGTTTAAACTTAGCAAAGGCGAGCTTCTTTGTCGATGATGTGTACAGTGTTAGATTTCACATTTAGCGGACATTTGCGCTGAACACGCAGTGAATGCAACGCATCGAGCTTCAGGCACCTTCTCCGAAAACACAGATCAACATTCACCACATGTCATGATCGCTGTCATCTGCGCCATTACGTTGTAACTTTAGGTGGGGTTTGCAAATCTGTGTGTAGGCTACTTTTCACTCTTCAGCTGTTTGCATTTCCCGCAGTAACAAAAGCTCCGTCATCTGACAGCGGAAAGCCTTGAGTGATTGACAGCTAATATTAACCAATATAGCAGCAGGGAAGAGCGATTCAGCACGTTTTAGAAAAAATCGGAACAGGTCGCACTACAGCCACTATATGCAGTCGCACAAATGCTCCCAAATATATTATGAGGTCGCATAGATTAAATCTCGGACGCAAATGTGACCAAAATGATGGCGATTTCAAGCCCTGTATTATGATTACTTTTAATTTCCCAAATAACATAACCTTTTACTTACTTTACTTATATTTAATGACAATTTGATTAAGTCAAACCATAATTTATTTATTTCTGTTTTAATCAACTCCATAAGATTTAGTAAATTATCCCCAGAACAAAAGAAACTTTTATCATCTGCAAATAATATAAACTTAAACAACTCTGATATCTTACACAGATCATTAATGTAAATTATAAACAATATTGGACCTAAAACTGATCCTTGTGCTATGCCACACTTTACATTTAGATATGAAGATTTATGGTTGCCAATTTCCACAAACTGTTGCCTATTTTTTAAATAACTGCTTATTCAGTCCAAGGCTACTTCTCTACTACCAAACCTTTATCATTTGTTTACCAATATATTATCATTTATTGTATCAAATGCCTTCTTTAAATCTAAAAAAATCCAACTACCTTCTCCTTATTCTGATCTGGACGTAAGTGCCAGATGGAAAACCTCCTTGAGAAAGAAGGTCCTTCCTCAGGAGAATCTGTCAGGGAGGGTCTGTCCCGAGGAGTGTGAGTTCTGGAAACCAGGTCTGGGTGGGCCAGTGTGGTGCAACCAGCAAGATCTGCTCCTCGTCCTCCCTGACCTTGCACAGGGTCTGTACAAGAAGACTCACTAAAACGCAAACTTGCCTGATACACATGTCCGAATCCAGCAGTGAGCCAGTGCATCTGTGCTGAGCGGAGCAGTGGCCGGTCTTGGGTAAAGCAAACAGGTAAACCTGAGTTTCTCCAAAACACCCCCATATCAGCTGGAGTACATTGGGGTGAAGTTGGCACTTTCCTAGGAGTGTGAGCTGCATGACATTCCTTGGTGCTTCCCATTGACATCCCTGAGACATGCAACAAAAACCTAAAATTAATAACAGAATTTAACATGAACCTGTTTATAATAAGAACAATTAACAATCAGTAAATAAAAGTGAATAAAGAGTTAAATGTGAATTAGAGTTTTATAACAGATTTGGACAGTTGTACAGTTTAACCAAGCTTAATGTTGTGTTCAATGTTCTCTGTATTTCTCAGTTCTCCTGCATTTGTTCTGTTAATAGGTGTGGATGCCAGTTCACAGGCCAGTACTCATGAACTTTGAGAGGCAGTTTTTGGGGAAACTGTATCATAGATAGGGGTGTAACGATACACTCAAGTCCTGACGATGCACTGAGGTCTTATGAAGCAAAGGAATCTCTCTCTGTGCAACAAAGTGAACATTATTTACAAATGTATCATCTGTAATATCTCTGTGGTAAACAAACGTGTGATTTCACGGCCATGAAACAGCATTATCAGCGTAATACAGGAAAACAGAATTGAACTTTTTGGGTGAAAATTAACCTTATACAATAAGCCGAGTACTGCAAAAAAAACAAGTTCAGTATTGCAAGTCCTATCGTTTACACAAGCGATGCACATCAGCACATTTATATTTCACAGTTTCACATTATGATGTATCGTTATACCCCTAATCAAAGAAGAATGTAAAGAACAGGCATTGAACTCATTTTAATCTGTCTACTTTATATTTTCAGCTAATAGGCTGTATAATTGGACGTCAGGGCACCAAAATTAATGAAATCCGTCAGATGTCTGGGGCTCAGATCAAAATTGATAATGCCATGGAGGGGTCATCAGACCGCCAGATCACCATTACTGGAACACCTGCCATTATCAGCCTGGCACAGTATCTTATAAATGCCAGGTGAGATTTAAAGCTAGTAACAGAATAAATGCTAAACATAGATGTGAATAAAATGTATTTAATATATATATATTTTTTTTTTTAAAATACTGTAATCAAACGTAAAGGAATACAAAAGCTTAAATAAAAGTGTTATAGATACCAAGGCTGAATTTAATTGATGAATAAATAAAGTAAAATTACAAAAAAAAATAATAAATTATTATAGATTTAATTTATTTTTAAAGCTAAAGCTCACTTTTTAATGATCCTCACTAAACCAATGTTTCTATCTTGTCTTCAAAATTAATTCTATACTGATTGTTTTCAGGCAAATTATTATTATCTGTAGTAGTAGTAGTAGTAGTAGTAGTAGTGTTATTAGTAGTAAACATAGCAGTAGTGGCAGCAGCAGTTTTTTTTTTTTTTCTTAGCAGTGTGGTTGAATTTGGTGGTGGTCAGTATTGCCAGGATAAGATTTTTATTTTTTTGAAAATGCAGTTGCAGGAAAGAATAATTCTTAATTAAATCTAGTTTAGAGTTATAGCACAGAAACTTAGCATGCTGAATGTCTAGCGGTTATTACTCTTATTTATTTCAAACTAATTGTTTTATTCATATTATACAGTATATTCAAATGTATTTAAGTTATCATACATGTAATGTGAGCAATAAATTGTATGAAAATATGTTTCATTTTAAATTTGTAAGTGGCGAAACGGGCAGTCATAAATGTTGTGATTTTGAGAAAATAAAATCTCATTTTAATTACGCTGTAAAAGGCAATTAGTTGACTATAAAAAGGTAAGTTAAGTCAACTTAATAGGTCCTCATATTTTTAAGTGAAGTCAATTGGTCAATTTTAAGGCAGCGGTTTTGATCTCTTCATTAAGGTAACTAATCGCTTTTTATAGGAAACAAAATGATTCTTTACATTTGAAGGTGACATTTATTCTTTTTTCGATTATATATTTTTATTTCGCTTTTTCAACAATTAACAATACAGAACATCAAAACTAAACAGGAAACAAACTAAATTAAAACATACACCGTATATTAAATAAATGAGTAAAATTAAATTAAATAAATCAATAAAAAGGGAGGAGATACAGCATAAGCTAGTAGAAACAAAACATTTTGTCAAATCGAATCAAGTGGTACTGTTTTAATGTAGTTCAAAAATGGATTCCAAATCTTTTTAAATACTTCATCCTTTCCTCTCAAAGAATATGTGATCTTCTCCAATGGTATACAGTTGCAAACTTCTGAGATCCACAGTCCAATTGGTACATAAATGTTTGTTTTCCATTTTAAAGCAATGCATTTTTTAGCTATTGTCAGCAACATTTCGGTAAGTTTAATAGCATAATTATGCTGGAGGTTAGAATTTGTGCAATTACCCAATAAACATATCTCTGGATCCAATGCAAAATCAATTGCATGAATCTGTGATATAATATTACATACTTGTACCCACAATACTTTCACTTTAGGGCACAGCCATGTAGAATGCAAAAATGTAGCTTCTTCTATACCACATCTGAAGCAGAGAGGAGAAATACTGTTTTTAAATTTGTGTAATCTGGATGGAGTATAATAAAGCTGGTGTAAGAAATTAAACTGGATTAGTCTAAATCTGGAATTCAAAGTTGAGGTTACCCCATCTCTACATAGCTGACCCCACAGGTCATTTTCTAGCGTTATCCCCAAATCCTGTTCCCATCTAGTTTTAGACTTATCTGGGTCAGTCAAAGGTTGTCTAAGCATCAAAGCATCATATATTCTAGAAATTGTTTTATGTAATGGTTTATCAGAGAAAACAAGTTCCTCCACAGCAGTTAAATTGGGTATCTTGGGATATTTTTTTTAATTTGACCCTTAATAGTATATTAGTGGGACAGTCCTCTTTCATCTCAAATGTCTCCATATTAAGCCATGACAGGTAGGGGGTTTCAGCGGACATCTGTGCCAGATACCTGGATTGGGCTGCCCAATAATACATCTTAAAATTGGGGAGTCTAAAAAGTCCTCCTTTGCTGTAGTCTAAAGCCAGTTTGTCAAGACCAACCCTTGGCGTTTTCAGATAGCAAATAAATGATCTCACTAGTACATTATGAGAAGTCAAAAAGGATTTAGGTATTGATATTGGAAGAATGAAATACATATAAGAACCTGGGCAAAACATTCATTTTAACTGCATCAATTCTACCAGACAATGTGAGTGGTAAATCCATCCAATTTGTTAAGTCTCTGCCAGTTTTTTCTAAAAGATTAGCCAAATTAAATTTATAGAGATTTTTTAGGTTGCCGTCTACATGTATACCCAAATACTTAATGCCAGCAGGTGAGCATTTAAAAGAAAAGGTATTTAATGAAGTATAATCAAAACCTGATAATGGCAAAATTTCACTTTTATCAATGTTAACTTTATATCCAGAAAAAGTACTATATGACTGTAATACATTCTGTAAATTAGATAGGGAGTCTACAGGGTCAATAAGAAACAAAAGAATATCATCGGCGAACAAAGATATTTTTTGTATTTCAGGGCCAGTTTTAAAGCCTTTTATGTTGGGGACACATCTAATAGCCTCAGCTAGAGGTTCGATCGCAAGGGCAAAGAGAGCTGGGCTGATGGGGCAACCTTGTCTACATCCTCTATACAAAGGTATTGAAGAAGAAATAATACCATTTGTAATAATTTTAGCTTTTGGGGATTTATAAAGTGATTGAATTAGCTCTATGTATACAGTTCCAAATCCAAATTTTTTTAGTACTTCAAATAAGTATGACCACTCAAAAGCCTTTTCGGCATCGAGAGAGACGACTATCCCTGGTATATGTTTTTCTTTAGCAGTGTGAATAATGTTAAAAACTCTCCTCAGATTATTTGCGCCTAATCTCCCAACTACAAAACCAGTTTGATCTGGATTAATCAATTGAGGAAGTCGAGTTTCTAATCTTTTAGCTACCATTTTAGTGACTATTTTATAATCTACATTGAGGAGTGATATTGGTCTGTAGGAGGCACAGTTATTTGGATCCTTGCCTTTTTTGAGTATTACTGAAATTATAGCATTTGAAAAGGAGTCTGGAAAACTTTTTTCCACCTTAGCCTGATTAAGAACTTCTATTAAATATGGCACAAGCAAATCTTTAAACTCTTTATAGAATTCTAATGGAAAACCATCTTTACTGGGTGATTTATTATTAGACAATAGATTAATAGCTTCAATCAGTTCAGAAGTAGAAAAAGGCTGATCCAGACTAGATCTGTCTTCCTCTGAGAGATATGGTAAATGGACTGAGGAGAGAAAAGCTTTCATTTGTAACTGATCTATACATGATTGAGAGGTATATAATTCTGTGTAATATTGCTTAAATACATCATTAATTTCTACCGGGTTGCATGTTTCCTTGTTACCAGTTTTAATAACATTTATTGTTTGTTTCTGTTCCTCTCATTTTAATTGCCAGGCCAAGACATTCTAAGCTTTCTCACCGAGTTCGTAATAACGTTGATTAGAGTAAATAATAGCTTTCTCTGCTTGGTAGGTGTTCAATTTATTGTATTCAATCTTTTTGTTTAGTAGTTCTTTATAAATATCCTTTGTTTGCGACTTGTGGTACAATTTTTCAAGTACTAGTTTTTCAACTTCTAAAGTACTTAATTTGGATTTTTTGTTTTTTAACAGCCCTTTAGTGTAGGAAATTATTTGACCTCTAAGATAAGCTTTTAAAGTGTCCCATAATATAAAACTATTGGAGCATGAGGGTTTATTTGTTGCAGTAAAAATATCAATTTGTTCCCTTATGAATTTATGAAATTCAGGTTGTTTAAAAAGAGTAGGGTTTAGTCTCCACCTGTAAGTTCCTTTTGTTTTTTCTGGAATGGACAGTGACATTACAAGGGGAGAATGATCACTCAGTAATCGAGGGAGATATTCAACATCTAGCACTCTGTATAGAAGTTGAGAGGGCAACAAGAAATAATCTATACGAGTGTGTGTATTATGGGGATGCGAATAAAAAGAGTAGTCTCTTTCTTGTGGGTGTTCTTTCCTCCATACATCCACTAAATTCAGATCTTTCATAAATGTTGTAGTAGATTTAGCTGCTTTAGAAAGGGGCACTGGTGTAGTTGAAGATCTTTCTAGTATATTGTCTAAAACAAAATTAAAATCTCCACCTACCAGGAGTTGACATTTATTCTTGATTTATTCTTTGTAACACAGTTTGTTTCATTCAGCGCATGATATTCTTTGGTCTGAAAATGGTTGTTGATTACAAACCAGATGATAGTCAGTGTTTAATGATTTATTTCAGCCTTCAGAAGGGCCTGATTGTTTAATCTTTGACATTTTTACTTGGCTCGACTTCATTGATGTTGACTGTGCTTCAAGTAATTGTAATAGTTCATAAAGCAATGTACTTTGTTTACATCTTTGTTTATTACTGTGATGTGCTGCAGTGACTTGGATCTGAAAGTGTGACGGTGTCACATTCGTCCAGACATACTTAAGAAAGATTAATTTAATTATTTAAGAACTGACCCTTTTGGGCAACGCAACTGTGATTAAAGTAAAGCAGCAAGTAACAGAAGCTGATTTGAATGTAATGTTGTGACTTTTTAACAGGTCATTTGCTGTTAAATTTGTATAATAATAAATAATAAATATACTCAAGTTCTTTTTTTTCCAAACTTGGTTTTAATAGATAGTGACTACATTGTGAGTTCTATTGTATCTCTGCTGTATTTGCTCAATGTTACAGTTCTCTGTTCAGAATGTTTATTATTTATATCACAGAAATGGGATTCATTCAAACGTAATGTATTATGTATGGATTTCAGTGTTGACTGCTGTATGATTTTATGTGATTAATAATATGACATAAAATCTCATTTTTCATTGCGATCTCATTTTCACGTCATTGCAAGGATACTTATGAAGGTAAAAAATGAATATGTATTTGCTTCTGTCATTTCTATTTCTAAAGACAGTTAATTGTGCTCCAGTGAC